CTACAAATCAAACTGCCAGAGAAACTAGGATAGAAGGAGGATTCTAACAGTTTTACATAAGGATACTCGCAGAAGCAAGAAGGGACAAGGTCCTCAGAGCATATGGGTGGGTATTGGCAGGTAGTGAGTGGAGAGGGAACTAGCACAAGGAAAATGGGAGGAGAGGAAAGATTGTGGGTCTAGGAACATTTGGTCAGGGGAGGAATAGACTTGAGAACAGAAGGGAAGAGAAGAGAGGAGAAGAGAGGAGATAAGAGGAGAGAAAAGAAAGAAAGAGACTATAAAAGAGGGAGCCATTATAGGTTAGAAGAGGAAATATAACCTAGACAAATGTACAGAGCCCTACAAGAATGAGCCCAACTAACAATTTGAGCAACAGTGTAAGGCTACCATAAATTCCCTTCACTGGCAATGAGATCAATGACTAACTTATCCACCATCATGGAGCCCTCATCTAGTAGCTGATGGAAACAGAAGCATACATGCACAACTAAACACTGAGCCGAACTGGAATCCAGATGCAGAGAGGGAGGACAAGATCACACTGCACAAACACATATATACAACTGACCTTAACAAGAAGGAGCTAATGGGCTCCAGACTTATAGTTGGGAATCCAACATGGGACTGACACAGACCCCTGAACATGGGTCTCAGCTAAAAGGCCTGTGGAGTCTAACGGTTTTCAGAGAGTGGGACTAGGAAGTATCCCTGTTGCAAAAAGGACATTGGGGGAAAATCCCCATGGAGGGATACTCCATTAACTTTGAGACAGGAGAGACATTTTAGTGTCTACTTAAAATGACTTGAAGGATTTAGATGAGCCCTCCTGGAAGGCGTCCCCCTACGTGTATAGTGTTGGTTGGATGGGAGGAGAGAGTGGCTGGGGGCCCGGGAAGTTGGGAGGGGAAGAAGGAGGGTTGGAGTAAGTTGGAGGGAACTGGTTTGATAAGTATAATAAAAAATTTTACAAATTAAAAACATTAAAAAGATACCAATGTAATTTTCAAAAAACAAAGTTAACATACTTTAATAATTTATAATTTTTACCTCTATTGACTTTGAAATATCACACCTCCACAGAGAGAACATCATTTCCAGCACAAGTTCTAATAGGTCTTAATAATAAAAACTCACAGTAATCTAACAGGGAGAGGAAGGTGAAAACTGAAGGATCACAGATCAGAGCATCTGGCTACTAGAGTTGGTATCTCTACCTATTCTCAGACAAGCGATGTGTTCCTGTCCTCACACTGCCTCCTCAGATTGACTGCTATCGCTTTGATCCCTCAGACTAACTTCTCAATCAAAATCATCTCACTGCATGCTCTTCTGTCTCCTCTACCTTATCTTCCTCTCTCTGTCCACCCATGTCACTCCTATCTCCAAATCCCTGCTGCTGGGATTAAAGGCCTGATTCCCATGTCCTGGGACCACCTTAGTGTGAGCTGTTTTTCTTTTAGACAGATTTAGGATGTGTCTAACTAGTGACATAGTGTGTGTGTGTGTAACTACTGATTTAATGTGTGTGGATAACTAGTGACCTAGTGTTGGTAGCTAACTAGTGACTTAGGTGTGTATTTGACTAAATGCATAGAAATACATAGGTGAATGGCTAACTACTATCTCAGTGTGTGTGTGGCTGACTATTTTCTTGGTGTTTGCGGCTAGCTAGTAAATTAGATTTGTGGCTGACTAGTGACTTAGTATGGGTGGGTAAGTAGTGATATATTGTGTGTAACTAACTAGAGACATAGAGACTGTGGCTAACTAGTAACCTAGCTTTGTGGCTAACTAGTGACTTAGGCAATGTGGTTAATTACTGCTTAGGCATGTAGCTAAATAGTAACTTAGGTGTATGATTAACTACTGTCTTAGTGTGTGTGGCTAAGTACTGCTTTATTTGTGTGATGGACTTGTGGCTTAGTTTTTGTGGCTAACTAGTGACAAAGGTGTGGGGATGACTATTGATTTAGGTGTTTGTCTAACTAGTGACTTCATATGTGTGTCTAAAAAGTGAGTTAAGTATGTGGCTAACAAGTGGCATGGTGTGTGTGGGTACTAGTGAGCTAGTATGTGTGGCTAACTAGTTGGGTTAGTTTGTGGCTAACTAGTGGCTTACACTTAACTACATGTGTAGCTAAATAGTGACTCCGCTTAGTAATCTGATTGTTAGGAACTAGCAGCCATTTGACCCCCCCACACCCTGATGATGGGCGGGACCCTCATGGCCATATCATTGTTACATCAGCTTTACCTGATGGCTCAAGGTTTACCTGGCTGCCAGAGGACTCAGTTACACATGTGCAAGCCTCCCCTTTTAAAGCAAGTGCCCCACACCCCCCTCTTTCTCTCCTGCTTTCAGTTGGCCACCAGCTACCCCCTCTTTCTCTCCCTTCTCTCAACAATCTCCACGTGGGCCCTGAGTCTCGCATTTGTGTTTCTTAGGCATTAGCTGCACAGCAAAAGAACAACATTGGTGCCGAAACCCAGGCAGACTCTACGTGAGGGTCACTGACAGCTGTCTGCTGGTGGGCGGCCAGCCAGAAACACTCAGGATCTTGTTTCAGATACCAGCGTTCCACCACCACCACCCCCCCCCCGTTCACTGGAAATACCACCCCACACAGGCTTCAATTAGGTAAGGTACCCTTTTACATTTTAACCCAATTCCTTAAGGTCAGGTACATTCCATGGGTGGAAGACATACAGCCCAGTTATGGGATCTTTCAAATTACTGCCAGGGAACAAATAGGTGGAAGGCGTTTTTCTGGGGGGCCGGGGCCGTTTTTTTTTTATGTTGTTTTTTTTTTGTATGCTCTGTTCCCTAAACAATTTCTTTCCCTAAACTTGTTTCGGTTCTCTTCCCGGCACGCTCAAATTCTCCTGCCTGCCCCAGCTGCAACCTGTCTCAGCATGGTGGGCTGGGCTGAGGCAGCATCTGCTCAAGACAAAATTATATCTCAAAACTTTACAATTTCTTTCAGCTGTTGGGAATATGTTTATGGCAGCCACCATCTTGACCATGTGGCCTAGCTTTACCCACCATGGTTCTTCTTTCTGCTACATCAGCCATCTAGGCAGAAAGAGTCTAGCCAGCTTCTGCCGCCAACAGAACCTGTAAGTCATTTACCGTTTGCCTTTTATTCTTTGTCTGTAATATCTTTTTTCTCTGACTATGTTATACATAGCTTCACACTCTTGTCCTTCTCAATTTACCCAGTCCTGAATAATATATCTGTACATTCGATTTCAACTTAACTTTATGTAAATGTAAGCTAACTTCATACAACTTAAATTCACTGTTCTAATTCTCAAATATTTCTAAATTATTATGTGCCTTTAAATGGTGGAATTTCAGGACTGAAAAACAGGATGCGGCACCACAGGAAGCTGGGAAATGGAGTCCTGGAGCCTCAGAGACCAGAAGAAGTTTAGGAACTAAAAAGATCGAAACAAGCCCAGCACATGCTGGGAACTGTAGTTAGGGGCCTTGAAGTCCAGAAGAGAATGTCAAGGGGAGAAAAGAAAGAAGCAGCCACACAGCATGCTGGGAAGTGCAGTTCTGGACCCCAAAGTTTTTAACCGGAAGTCCATTCATAGAAAAGCGGACACAAATCATGCTGGGAAATATAGTCCTTGGCTTCCAAAGATGAAAATAAGAAGTCCCTGGGCAGGGAAGCAGGAAGTGGCCACAGAGAATGCTGGGAAATGGAGTCCTGGGCCTCCAAAAACTACAAACTGGAAGTTTCATTGCTGAAAAACAGAAAGCCACCGCAGAGCATGTTGGGAACTACAGTCCCTGGCCGGTACAGATGAAAACCGGAAATCCCTGGGCATAAAGACAGGAATCGACCGCACAGGATGCTAGGAAATGCAGTCCTGGACATGAACATCCAAACCCAGAAGTCTCTGGGCAGCGAAGCAGTAAGCGGCCGCATAGGATGCTGGGAAATGCAGTCCCAGCCACAGCAGTTACAAAAGTTCCTGATGGCCTTGGCTCAAGTCAGCCTTGGCTGCGATCTGCGAGCAGAAGTCATGCCCCACCCTTGATGATTGACCTGAGTCTCTACTGCCAGGTTTCCCTTGCCAGGAAATCCAGCCCTCGGCTTGCAGCCTGCCCCTCTACCTTTATAAAGATAGCTGACATGTCCCCGCCCAGTCAGCCTGTAGATCACACCCTCAGCAGACCTCATCGCCCAGAGGCAGGAAGTGGGGTCTGTAGTGATTGACAGCTGGAGGGGCAGGGTATGGGGTGACTGACATTACAAGGGCCTGGAGGGGTGAGCTTTGTGATGTCACAGGGGCCACACTCATCATCCTCAGGGTTTTTATTCTCATAACCTGCTTACCATGGCCACCATACCCTGGGTCCTAGCATTGCTGCTTGGTAACCAAAGAGTTTGGTAGGAGACTCCTGCCATGCCCAGCTGGGCGTGGAGATGGTGAGGGTAGGGAAGGAGGGCACTTCCTGCTCACAGTCACAATTTCCTGTGATGTCACTGCCTGGACCAAGTCCTGTCTGCACCATAGGTAATACCCAGACCCCGGCCCTGCCCTCGGGGACCCTAGGAGAGAAAGTGGGGAAGGGCCTGGTGTGGTTGAGGGCAGGGCCTGGAGAGGGTCACTGATTGTGACCTTGGACACTGTGACCTCGGGGTAGGGGACAGGTGAGCTAGGGTAGTGCTGAAGGGGTGGGGCCTGATGCTGAGCAGCAAAAACCTGCCACTCATTTAAATATGCAAATGAGGCTACTAAACTGTTATGTAAAGGATGCACTAGTAATTTTGATTATGCAAATAAGCACAGTGCCTGAAAATCTGGAAGTCTGATTGGGGCTTCACATTTGAGTATGTAAATGAGCAAACCCCAGTTTCGGAAATACACTTTAATATGCAAATTTGTGCTGCTTTGCATGCTTTTGCTATGCAAATGAATGCAAGTATTCCCATCTGTTTGGGACTTTGACCTGCAAATACATGCAGGTTAGGTCATTTGGAGGTGTGGCCATGCAAATTAACCCCAGCAGTTTCTGTACTTGATGTCTTCTGAGTCTCCAGGCAGCTCTTGAATATGCAAATCAGAGTGCGGGCAGGGGGTGGGGCCTCCCCTGACCCTGCTCCTGATGTCAAATGTCCATCACAGGCATCTGATGGTGAAGCTGCTCATGCAGGACCCAGTGGGGGCAAGGGCAGGGCCCATGAAGATGGTGAGGGCGGGGCATCAGGGGCATCAGGAGGGGCAGGGCCACAGGGGCGGGTTTGGGTGTACTCCCCTCGGTGGGCCTGTCCCCTAACCCTGCCTCCACACACCTCACCCCATGTCCTGTGTCCTAGCACTGGGAAGTGATGCACTTGAGGGAACCTTGCTCTGTCAAACACAATGCACCAAGGGCATCATGGGAAATGGGTCACTGCTTCACAAACTCACCAGAAGACCCGCCCCTTCAGTCACTCTCTCACCAGAATTCCCGCCCAGACAGTCACTCACATACTCACTCTCCATCTACAATCCTCATTATTGGGGTGTGGCCGGACGCTGGCTGACAGGGACTTGTGGTCCCACATCCGGGAAGATGGCAGCCAGCTCACGAATGCAGCGGTTGAGTGGAAACCCCACGGCATTGAAGAAATCTCCTTCCACGCGCTCTGCTAGGGCACCACCTCGCGCCTGAAGCCCGTAGGCGCCAGCCTTGTCCCTGGGTGCAAGGCAGGGACGAAGTCACACCAGGTGCCATGCTCAGCCACACCCACGCCCGCCGGGGACAGCTCTTCCTTTTCAGGCCTCACTTCCAGGTTTCCTGGCCCCACCCACCCCACCCCGCACCCACTCACAGAGGCTCCCCGCTCTCCACGTATTCGCACAGCAGTGGCTCCGATAGCCGCGAGAATGTCACACGGGTCTCTTCGTGGAACAGTGACAATTCCACTTCTGCTTCTGGGTCCCCTTCCGCCTCTGGGGCCTCTGGGCATGTGGAACTCGGCTCCTGAAGCTGCCTCCGCCACAGTGGCCTCAAGATGGCCACACCGGTGATGACACTGTGCTGCTGGCCACTCAGCCTGGGCGGGGCCAGGGAAGGCGGGACAGGGCGTGGTTGGCAAGGGGCAGGGCTGGGGTGGGCAGAGGCTGGAGCTCCATGCAGAGGCCCCGCCCACTCTGCCCTGGGTGGGTCTGCCCCGCCCCTTCAGGCCCCGCCCACCTGCGCAGCATCCTGTAGGCATCATCCTTGTCCTTTGGCTTCTCCAGGATGACGCCATCCACGGCCTGCAGTGGGCGGAGCCAGACGCCAAGGGGCCGGGTCAGTGAAGGGCAGGGCAGGCAGGGCCGGAAGGAGCAGGGCCTCACTCACCACAATGGTGTCAGCTCCAATAATGACATCAGGAGGGTGCAGGTCCTGCAGAGCAGAGGGCGGGGTGAGGCTTGTGGGCGGGGCCTCGAAAGGAAGGGGTGTGGCCAGAAGGGATGGGGCCATCCTCACCCTGCGCAGCCGCGACGCCACCTCCAGAGCCTTCAGCTTTGCTGTCTCCCGGGCATATTCGGGCGGAGCCGGAAATCTCGCCTTCTCCAGGGACTCCTGGAAGTGGGAGGGTATGACCTCGAACTGCAGTCCCTGGGGGGGGGGGTGTGCTGTCAGTCACAGCAGGCCCCACCCCTGGAAGTCACAGCTGACAATCCCAGAGCAGGCCCTGCCCCTGGAAGTCACCATGGAGGACAGGATGTCCCGCCTCCTGGGGGAGCTGCTCGCCAGGACCACCCTCTTCCCCTGCAGCAGCCTGGTGAGTGGAACCAGCTCCATGGTGAAAGGATCGCACATTTCCGGTCTGGGGGGTTCACTTCCGTTCTGGGAGGGACCAGAAATTGTCCACTTCCGTCTTGAGACAACCAATTCCGGTTCCTCTGAGATGATGGGACTTATTTCCTGCCCCTGGGTGTGCAAAAAAGACGGCGGGGTTCAAGATGACCATGGGCTACAGTGTAGGTAAAAGGAAACAGGAAATCCTGCCTACTGCCTGTCTATGTCAGAGCCTTAGCCTCAGGGACCGCAAGTCCCACCTCCAGCACACACAGGAAGTGATTCAATGAATGAATGATTGTACAATGAATTAATGAGTTAATGACTGAATGGATGAGTAAATGAATGAATGTATGAATGAATGAATGAGCTAATGAATGAATGACTGAAATGACTGAATTACTTCATGAATGACTGACCTTTGACTGAATGAGTGAATGAATGACTGAATGAACTAATTAATGACTGAATCAATGAATGAATGACTGCATGAATGAATGATTGAATGAATGACTGAATGAATGAGTGCATGACTGAGTAAATGAATTAATGACTAAATAAATGAATGAATGACTAAATGAATGAGTGATTGAATGAATGAGTGGCTGAGTTAATGACTGAATGAATGAGTGAATGACAGGTGTTTGATTGACAGCTGTGTGCCCTACAGGCCACGCCTGTAACTCCTCTGACATCACGGCTCCCGTGACACCGCCCATCCCCTGTGAACCTCTCTAAGTCATTAATTCCTGGTCAATGCTCCCATGCAGAAGTCCCGCCCCGATTTACCATGTTGCCGGAAGTCCCACCCCGGTTTCCCCGGAAACAGGAACCCTGCTGCCAACCGTGGCATAAACAGGAAACAGCGAAAACCAGAGGGGTGCACGGACCTAGGGTTGCGATCTCTGTTTCTGCCCTGTTCGCCGCACCTGGAAGTCCCACCTACCGCCTCGATGAGTGACAGGGAATATGCTCTGTGCTGCCTCTTTTGCGGTCAGAATCAGCCGTTTCTGACCTGTTCACTTGGACCTGTTAGTCCCGTCCCTTAAGGCGTTTCCTATCGGGCCCGCAATGTCCGATGCGATCAATTCCCTTCCTGGGCCGAAAGCGGATCCGATTTAATAGCCGCCCGGTGGGCAGGGAATCGCATGTTGCACCATCCGTAAGCGGAAGTAATGTGCCAGAAGTGGAACTCAGGCCGCAGGGCACTCCGTCCTGTTTACTTCACGGGTGGAACTAAAGTTGTGCATCTCTTCGTTGCAACCTTTCCTGGGGACCATTTTGTGTGAAGCTCAAGTCAGTGACTGGAAGCCTGACGTCCTTGGTTCACAAGCGGAAATCGTGTGTCAGTTTGGCCGGGTGGAACTAGAAGCGTGTTATCCATGTGTGTCTTCCGGGGACACTGACAGCCACGAACCGGAAGCTTTAGTTCGTGACCGGAAGGCGGAAGTCCTGAGATCGCAGCCGCTTGTGAGCGGTGCAGGGGACAGTCCCGGAACCGTGTGTTTGAGAAGGAGTTCCTGGGGACAGAGTTGTGAGAGGTGCTCAATGTCTGTAACTCTGTCTGTTCCAGTCACTCTAGGAGGTCTCTCCCCTGGCAGAGCCTCAGTAATGACGGATAAACATCAGGCAGGCGGGCACTCTGGTTGCTCCAGCGGGATAGATGGGTCCAGTATTTTCAAAGCAGGTCCAAGAAATTTTCCGGAGGTGGAGGTGTTTTTTTTTGACCCGCTCTCTGTCCCAGTGCTCAACCAGACCAGTGGAGCAGTGGGCGCAGTAGGACACAGGGTGGGGAAAGTGCGGGTTCTGGGTGGGGTGCTTTGTAGATCAGATTACTAGAACTTTACTCTCTAGAGATAAGATACAGGGCGTGAAAGACAAAAAAGTAAAGTTAGAGAAACGCCCCACTTTAAATGAAGGACATACTAACCTGGAAAGTTAACCCCTAGCAATATCTGTTCCTTGGAATCTGCTAACTTCCCCTCACACGGACCTGAGAAAACAAGATTCCAAGAATTTACACTGCCCCTCCTTTCTTGTGAGTCAGCAGGTGGTGAATGGGGTCCTTAAGAAGCAAAGAGATAACTGCACCTCCGGTTTGCCCAGACAAGATTAATTAGCACACCCTGAGACCCTAAGGTCTGTTGACCCTAATAGGGAGACCAGCCTCAAAGGGTCATGTACTCAATGGACAGAGGGTCCCACCCCCTCCCTAAGCTTGGGGGTTTTGCCTTTAAAAACACCTGTGCCCGGTGGAGGGGGAGATGGCTTCTCACTAGTCTGCATGATGGAGGGGCCCCTTTGCACAAATGTTTCCTGTTCATTAAAGCCTCTTGCATGTTGCAGCAACTGGACTGGACATTGAGTTCTTGGGGATACTGACGGAAACTGGGAGACTCCTCATTCTGAGGGTCTTACAAAGCTTGAATTCTTGAATAATGCAGATTGTTTAAAACTGCTCACTGAGTAAGATGTGCTGGCTAGCAGTAGTGGTCATACACAAAAATCTTCCTAGCTCCATTCCTCTCTAAATTTTCAACTTTCCATGAAGAATAGTCTTTTTATAATTTTGTGTTTGTTAAGTGGTTTTTATGAGGTTCAGGAATAAAACTCCTACAGTTATAGAGCAATGACCAAGCTTTCTGATGAGAGAAAGAAAATTATCATCTTTTTGATCTGGTACCTGCTTTTATTTCCTGACAGTTGGAAGTTCCTGTACAACCTGTCCAATAACACCTCATTCTACAGACTGGTCAGTGGGTTATGGGTCTGCATGGGGACTAAAACTCAGATGACCAGGTCAGGAGTGGATTTGGTTTGACAGACAGACACTAACACACTCGAGGATGCTGCTATTTGCAACTGCTGCTATTTTTACTTTAGAGTATTGGGTATTTATACAGAAAGTTCAACAGATCTTTAGTCGCAATTTACAGACATATTATAAAAATATCAGTAATTCCTTTGAAGCATGAGATCAAAAAAACACTTATTTTTGCCTGCTTGTGGTCAGTGTACCAGAGATTTGGTTTACTGAGTTTAGAGAAAAGTAATTGTCTTTTAGCAGTAAACTTTTAACAGCATTGATAAGAACTCTTACATTGATCTACTAATTTTAGAGGATAGTCATAAACTTATAACAGTATTGTTAAGAACTCTTGTACTGTTTTCCTTTTACTAAATTCCACAGCAGCTTTGCTGAGGGTTGGCTATTGACACACAGGGTCTTCTAGGGAGAAAATTTCAAAAGCTTAAGTTATATTAATTTATCAGGCCTAGGGCTGACACCTGGAGTCTCAACCTGCACTGTGAGTATTGTAAGTAAGGACACAGAGGACAACATCCATTTACTGATTGTTAAGTCTGTATCTCTTTCAGTTTCTGAAACTATATCTAAGTGTTCTCCAGGCATCTTTGAACTAACAGTGGAGCTACAGGCCAAAACACCCAGGATCAAAAGCATTATTGTTATCATGGCCATAGCACAAAATACGCCCAGCACCCATTCCAATCAACCCACCAAGTAAGAGCCTGCAGGGACATGGCCATTTTTTCCCAGGAGACATAAACACATGTGGTGTGATGCTCTGGACAGGTAGCCATTCGATATTCCTCTCAGCCATTGCTACACAGTCCCCACTTGGGCTGTTGTGACAACCTCATTGTGTTTACACTGAGCTCAGTTTAATGCCACAAAAAAACACCACTTTTTGTATCCCCAAATCTCTCTTTGTAGTTAACATTCTGGGCTCTCAGCTTTTTGACAGAAAATTACTCTATGCACATAGTAGTAAGTCTAGTGGGCTGTATAAGCTAGCTAGCCACTTTGTACCCAGGAGGAAGTAGGGGAAAAGCCTATGGAGTGCAGCAAGAGAGCAGCGCCTGCTTTGTAGTCAGTGCCAAGTGCTATACAAATCATGTCACTGCTCATGTTGAAAAGGTCCTTTGTCTGGGGTGTGTCTTTAAGCCCACTGTAACCATCTGGGTGGTGCTCCAGTCACCCACCCTTATCAGCCAATCAGGGCCCTCAGCAACCTGCCAATTGCAGGGCTTTTCCTGTCCCAGGCTTTAGGCTTGGATTGGAGAGAATCTGGCACCACTCATTTTGTGTTCTGTGCTTTGAGCAAGGGAAAACAGAAAGGCACAACATGGTGAGTGATGGGCTACTGTATCTCAAAAGTGATAAAATAACACATAATTGAGGAAACTCTGTGAAGGAATCAAACACTAAAGCCTTCATATGTACCTTTAATTTTTAAAACCATGAAAAATCACCCTTCACAGAAACCCCATGTATGTGAGCAGTGTGCTGAAGTTGTGCACTTTTCATGTAACAATAAACTCTGAGGGCTAGAGAAAATTCACATGGAAGGGGATGTTTGGTAAGATCTTCAGCCAAAAGATGTTCAGTTACATGAGATCCCAGAGAGAAAAATATCTGATGTGTGTCAACTCTCTGTTCATACTGCCATACTTATCTCCCAAATGGCTGTACGAGTTTGCACTCCCACCAGCACACTAGAGGAGTGTTCCCCTTTCTCCAAATCCTCTCCAGCATTAGTTGTCATTGGTGTTTCTAATTTTAGCCATTCTGGCAGGAGTAAGATGATATCTCAAAGTTGTTTTGATTTCCATTTCCCTGATAGCTAAGGATGTGGAGCTCTTTATTAAGTGTCTTTCAGCCTTTTTGATTTCCTCTGTTGAGAATTCTTTCTTCAGTTCTGCACCCCATTTTTTAATAGGGTTATTTGGTGTTTTGTTGACTAGTTTTTTGAGTTCTTAGTATATTTTGGAGATCAGCTCTTTGTCAAATGTAGGATTGGTAAAAATAATTTCCCAGTCTGTGGGCTACCATTTGGTATTGTCCACTGTGATCTTTGCCTTACATAAGCTTCTCAGTTAGAGCAGGTCCCACTTATTAATTATTGATCTCAGTGTCTGTGCTCCTGGAGTTATGTTCAGGAACTGGTCTCCTATACCAATTTCTTCAAGGGTACCTCCTACATTCTCCTCTTATAGGGTCAGTGTGGCTGAATTGATATTGAGGTCTTTCATCAATTTGGACTTAAGTTTTTTTGCATGGCGATATACATGGGTCTAACTGCAGTGTTCTACACACCATCATCCAACTGTGCCAGCATCATTTGTTAAAGATGCTTTCCTCAGATGGAGAGAACAAGATATTCAATGACAAAACCAGATTTTCCCAATATGTATCTACAAATCCAGCCCTACAGAAAGTATTGGAAGGAAAATTCCAACCCAAGGAAGGTAACTACGCCCACAAAAATGTAGGCAACAGATAATCAAACTACACCAGAAACCTAGGGTGAAGCAGAACAAATATATTCACAATACCACTGCCAACAACAAACCTAAATCAAACAACTATCAACAATCAATGGTCCTTACTCACCCTCAACATTAATGGTCTTAACTCACCTATAAAAAGACACAGATTAACAGAATGGATATGAAGACAGAATCCATCCTTCTGCTGCATACAAGAAACACATCTTAGCTCCAAAGATAGACATTACCTCAGGGTAAAGGGTTGGGAAAAGATTTTCCAATCAAATGGAAATAAGAAGCAAGCAGGCGTAGCTATCCTAATATCTAACAAGCTAGACTTCAAACCAAAACTAGTCAAAAGAGATGAAGACGGTCATTTCATATTCATCTCAGGAGAAATCCATCAACACAAAGTCTCAATTCTGAACATCTATGCCCCTAATACAAAGCCACCCACATTCGTAAAAGAAACACTACTAAAACTCAAAGCTCATATAAAACCTCACACACTTATAGTGGGAGACTTCAATACACCACTCTCAACACTAGACAGGACCACAAATCAGAAACTCAACAAAGAAACAAAAGAATTAACAGAAGTTATGTCTCAACTGGGGTTAACAGACATCTATAGAACATTCCATCCAAAGACAAAAGAATATACCTTCTTCTCTGCTCCACATGGAACCTTCTCTAAAATCGACCACATACTAGGAGACATAACAAACCTCAACAGATACAAGAGAATAGAAATAGTCCCCTGTATCTTATCGGACCACCATGCTTTAAAATTGGAATTCAACAACAATACAAATAGCAGAAAACCTGCAAACTCATGGAAACTTAACAATGTGCAATTGCACCACTCCTGGGTCAAAGAAGAAATAAAGAAAGAAATTAAAGACTTTCTAATATTCAACGAGAATGAGGATACAACATACCCGAAATTATGGGACACCTTGAAAGCAGTGCTACGAGGGAAGTTCATTGCACTAAGTGCCCATATGAAGAAAACAGAGGATAGTCACATAAATGAATTAACAGCGCAACTGAAAA